GTATACGGTCAGGAATGAACTCTATCTCACGACATCTCATACTGCAATTTGTATCTGCTCTCACAGTAGTACCTGATTGCGCACTGTGACTTTCATTGCCAGAGCGGGCCCTATATTATTACAGAGTGGCAAGTTGATACACCTCTTTTTTGCTGCATGCCCCAATACAAACAACGGTACCTATTCTTGGTGAGAAACCCTTAATGATTACCCGGGTTCGAGACCGCGCGCACCATATAGAGAGAACGAGATTTCAAAAAAAATTACAATGGTTGGAGAGATTGTCAACTTCAGAGCTCCAGTCCGCTCCACACACCCAAAACCAGGTTTATCGAACTCTGGCTCTGTAGGTAATTACATAGAAGAAGCTAGTGTGGTCGTGAATGGGAGACAGTTTGCAAACGCTCGCCCGTTCGGGAGATGGACAGTAAATATTGCGAACTGGCGACTGTAGTTCGCGAACCGTGAGGGTCACCGCTGGTACTATGGCCGATAAAGGAGTAAAGCCTTTCCGTTCCTCCGTATGTGCTTGAACAAAGTATATTATAGTTCTTTGGTATGGAATGTCAGCCTTGGAAGCAGAAAATGAACTTCGCTACTCGCTATACTCATGTTTGTTCTGAACTCAGCTGCCCGTTTGTTGTCTACCGGGGGAAGGGGTGGATTCGACGAGTAACAGCTGTGTATGTACAATAATAACCCTAAGCCCTAACTCGCTTCGCAGTGATCCTCCGTGTTATTCTCTTCCTCCTTTTCCATCTTTCTTCATGTTCTCGTTTGCCATAATTTTCACCTCTCTCGCAAGCTCGCATTGCGGAGTGAAAAAAGAACGTCTGGAGTTCGGGCGCACGTTGTTTTTATCATCTTTCCTTCCCCGTCGCGGGCAGCACATCAGGATGCAGCATCGGAAACGCCAACTACCAGCTTGGTTTTTCCAACTCGTTACAAGTCGTTTCCGAACCGAGTTTTCAAGCTAGCTGTGCCGTCAATTGCTCTTGAAGCTTGCTTCAACACGTACGTACACTCCAATCCAAACCCTCGACTCTATTCGTTTTTCACACCCGATCGCGGCCTTAGTAGACTGTCGCCATGATCTAGTTGCAAGGTAGAGCTCTAGCACTAATTTTTGTATGCTGGTGGATAGGTAAAGTTCAGGAGTTAGAGGAAACCAACTTATCTTCTCAACCACTCTTCTACATTGAGCTTCGCCGATTCGATCAATAGTCATCAAGACTAAGAAGTACTTGTTGTAATTAGCGTTACCACACCTAGTTTCCTATGTTATGATAAGATTAAATAATGTGGCTGTGCAGAGGATATTAAGCCGATCATGTGATGGACAAGGGTTGTGCTCAGTGGAACTCTCCAGAGTCGGATGGATAGTTAGACGAACTCACTCTCTATGTGGTACGAACAGGGGTATGACCTGATGGGTTTATAAGGATGGGATAATACTGTTCAATACACTCTTTTTTGTCATAGCTTAACAATATAACATCTTGTATTCTTGCACTATGTGTCCTCTTACTGTCACATGTTCAAACTCTCTTGTCATCTTCACTTATCCTCTCTCCTCACTTCCGCTCGTAATTACTTCTACAATACTCTCGGCAAAGAGGTTTTCAATCAAGGTGACCTCTCACAGTGACTAATTTCTTGTGGAATTCCCAAACACTTAAAAGGGTCACACCTCTCTGCTCAAAAATGACTGAGTTTGGGAGTTGGTCAATTGGTCTCCACCTTCCAGAATGCTTACGCCGAACGAAGTATGGAACTAACATCATACGGCGATGAAGCGCTGTTTACCTTCAAATTCGATAGCATTAACGATCCAAGCGTAAAACAGAATCTGTTTACGCTTGGATCGTTCAAGGAACTTGGAGTAACGGTTCCCCAGTTGTTTCTGGACCAAGTGGTTGAGCTAATCAAAGGCGGTGCAACGTTGATGTGCTTGTTATTCGCACTGGAGATGTTGGTGTGAGCGGGGCCAGGGAGCTCGGTGGTATTTCATCACGACGGCGTTCACGGGGGGGTGGAGGTGGGAGGCTACATTATGGTGGATAGGAGCCATGGAGAAGTTGTGGAAAAAAAGGGATGTTTATTAAATACAAAGATGAACTCTCTGGCGGGAGGAACGAAGTGGGGGAGGGGAGTTGGGGGGTAATTGTTTATCGGGAGAATAAATCAACGATGAATGCCAGAATCCAAATGGAAGTAAGTAGTTAACCCCATCTGCTTTCTCTCATGGATTGGCTAATAGTAAAAAGTCTGGGGGACGCGAGAGTCTCAGAAGCTGCCCAAAGGCATTTCAAAAAGTCGCCATACAGTTATTCATCAACAGGACTTTAGCAGCAGCGTCTTCAAAAGAGGATACCATCTGGTTTTACCGGTATGTGAAGTGTATTTCTGTTTATTCCACCATGGGCGTGTCTAACCTCAACTTAAGATCCAACGGTGCATTTTTACCAAATTATAAAAGCCAGCATCAAACGCCGGTGTATCACCTACGGTGATTAGAAATTCGACGTTAAGACGGCTATGCCAGGAAGGAGCCCTGCCAATCTACCGGCATTCTGGCTCGGGATCTCCCTCCTGGAGATACTTACAAGAAGTGGAAAAGAAGTCTGATCGACCAGACTACTTACTTCAATCGACCTCCACCATTGACCTCAGACCCCCCTCGTTTCCACCTTCGCCTCGCTCTACAAACACCGCCAGATACACAACATCCCCCCGGAGCCACACCCACCTCCCGTCCTCTGGAGAAATTCTCACACCCCGTGCCGGTAGGGAGGGGTCTTTTGGCTACAGCCGGGGGTCTCGTTCCTCCTCCGCCGCTCCGTCACTCTATGAAACGAATTGAGGCATGCGTTATTTTACATACTACCACGGGAGTGAATGCACGGCGCCGAACCGAGACCACCCAGTAATCGACCTACGTAAGCAGTGATGCGTATGTTGATATTGAAAGATATTTTGTCACGAGTGAGGTTAGGGTTGAGGCATTGTCAAAGAGCTAAGACTCGGAGCAGGCTTGAAAAGGAGAAAGACGACAATGGGGCTCTACGGACATTACTGGAACGATGGGGATATTTGCTTTTCTTCATGTGTTTGCTTCACTTGACGATTAACGATAGATTGTGCAATTGATCTTTGTGTGTTTCTTCTTCTTCTTCTTCTTCTTCTTCTTCGAGCTTGCATCCTTTTCTCGTATCGTGTATACCTCCCGGTCCGTTCTCATGGTTTTCAAAGCACACCATTGCTGCTGCTAATGGAATCCACAAGTACGTTGACGAAAGGTCACCGTGTGATCACAGAATATCAAACTTCCATAATGTTCGCTGTTTTTTCTTACGGAATCGCTCGCTGGGTTGGAGAAAGAGATGGTAGAATCCGGATTAGTATGATATCAATCAATGGAACTTTTGAATCTTCTTTGTTCTGCATGCTACTTATACCCGCCCTTCTACTCTGAAGTGACTCTAGCCGAAATCAAACATCCAATACCCACCAACCATGCATGCCTAACGAAAAGATGGTCACGATTATTGAAACTTTTTTTTTTTTTTCATGGGGCCTTTCAAAGTTATTCTAAATTTGCAAAAATGTCGAGCGGGGGCCAGCATGTCCCGCGTCAAACGTATCACAGAATCTGTAAGCATTCCATTTACACTTCTTATCATTTCTAGGTTGTTAATGGGTGGATAGAGTTTGATGAACCTGATCTACAATATCAGCTCCTGAATTCCAGCCGACGTGGGTCCGGAAAAAAGTCTATTTATACCGTCCGGAATTGCAATTAAATACATCGTATGTAGAAATAATTTCCTTCCACCTTGACGATTTTCTCGAAATGGGGGAATACAGTTATATCTATATCGTAAATTGGGAGGGGGAGGGAGTGTATGATTTGGTGTTTTCGAATGTGTGCTTACCGCTTAAGCAGAAGGGGAGGTTAAGCGTTTGATAGTGATTTCAAGGAAGTTTTGGGAAGGTAAATGTTATGAACTATCTGGAGTAGAATAACTGTCAGTTCAGTCGTGCCATTTCAAATCACTCTGACGGAATTCGAAAAGAATGACACGACCACTCCTCAAAAGTCTCCTATCTATCTTTCTTTCTTCCTCGCAGCCACAATCCTACAGCTGTGTATATAACCTACATACCATGCCTTCAGAATAGGTAGCACCGGTGATTGCTTTCACTTTCTTATTTATTAGAAGTAGCGGTAGTAAGTGACGCCGTCTCTTATTGTCTACCAGTCTCTCTGGAAACGTTCAAACTCGTACCTTAAGGCTTCCTTCCAACCAAATTCGTCACAGGGCGCGATCAATGACATATGATATGCGGACATTCTGGAAACATATTTGCTTTAGTCTATGAATCGATCACTGTGCGCATAAACCTGTGGAGCTAAGGAAAGAATAAACTAGATATTTGAGGTAATATGTGATTCCGAGACAGAATGCTATCGATTTGTATAGACATCTTCCATATGATTGAAACACGACTAGAAACCCGCGAACCATAAACGGAACGAAAATTACATCCAAAGCTAATAACCCTCGACGCCTGAAGATATGAGGGAGATACCAGTCAGTAACCGATTTCGTCATGCGAAAGATGCCATATCTAGAGAACAAACACTCAACACCAGAATATAAACCCGGAGATTATGTCGGTTGGATAGGCTCTAAAATCTCGGCAGCTCTCAAAATCACCACGAAGGTATGGATGCGTATTTACTTTCTTCTGCCCCACTGGATTTTAATATATAACTCGTTGGTTCAGCTGATATAAATCATTTGTGTCGGTAATATATCCGTCGCAAAACCTTACATGACCGTCGACATGCATTGATCGGTATATATTGGTGGACTTCGCAGGAGGGTGTGTTAGATTAGATGAACGTCGTATCACTGAAACTACAGATTGCCGTGAGATTCGTCAAGACTATAATAGCGTAAGTAATTCCCCTCCAGGATCTAAAAAACAAACCTGGTTTCATGGTGTAGTTTGTTATCACATTTGTCTACTCTAACAGTTTCCACTGTCCCCAGATCGAGCCTGTGTGAAATCATCCCATCATTTTTTATATTTCCCATTCTCTCTCCACAATATTAATTTCCACCATCATCATTGTATCCCAAAACCATCTCTCTCTAACCCACCTCCCCCCAACCACCACTAACCACTAAATCAACCCCCCCTCCCCCAACCTCCTCCTCACCTCCTCCCCCTCCTCCTCCATCTCCTCCTCCTCCATCCCCTTCACAGCCTTCACAACCTCAACCTTACTACTCTCACACAACTCCCCGGCAACCACCAACTCATCAAGCACCGCATACGCCTCCCTGATCCCAAAAACTATGTCCAGCTCACACACATCGCCAAAATACATATCCAGGCTTTGTACAAACCTATGCAATATCTCGAGGGTAAGGAGATGATTATCGGTTGTACACGATGCGGCAATGACGTGCAGGGAGGCGTAGCGCCGGTGGGTGAGGGTTGAGTCTATTTCCATCCATCAGGGGGAGGGTTTGGTGACT